TTTTTTTATTTCTGTTATGTCTGTTATTGTACTCAGGGGCACAAGGGTCTTTTCCCTTGTTATTTCTGTCACCCTATATATAGTAAAATAAACACTAGCGCTGCCAGTACTGTTACATTGCAAACCTTCTCTCTTCTCTCCTCTCTTCTCTTCTCTTCTTCTTCTTCTCTTCTCTTCTCTCCTCTTCCCCTTATCTCTGGCCGGCTACACTGTCAAGAGTATCAAAGCAGGGAATATACTGGACAGTTTGGAACCATCTCTTCTATTGCTGCTGCAATCTACTCTTTATTCTTCTTCTTCATTTACCTAAAGAACTTTGAGAGGTTTATCAGAACTAATTGGCTCTCAAATAAACTAATGTTGGCCATATCAGATGAAATATTACTGGAATTGACATATTCCCTAGTGAAAACTACCAGTGCACTGTGATGTACACAAAATGGTATGCGACAATATTATAGATACATGGAGTAGCAGTAGTATTACTCACCTACTGGACAATTTTACCATGTTGAGCCAGCTTAAAATTCTTTTCAGAAACCGAGTCAAATCTTAGTTTTTGTCCATGCAATAATTTATTTGGTTAGTCTATTAGAATTACTTCTACTTTATATGAGTTCAAAGTTTTTCATCATTCCATTCTTTTATGTAGTTTTGACTCTTAAAGTTTATGGGGCAACTTTTCAGGGTATTATTTTGTCTATTAACCTTAGTCTCTTAGTTTTGTTTGATGGTTTAGAACAAGATAATAACATTGAAGGGTGTATCTATGCTTTTTTTATCATTTCATAAATATCACACTATAATTTTTCATACTTCACAATGTTTCCACCATGTCTATAATTTCTACAATGTTTCCACACAACATATCTGATATGTTTTCATATGGGATGACACAGCCTGTGAAATTTGGGAGCAAGCCAAGACAACCTATTCTGAACAGAGGCATTTTGCCAAGATTTATCAACTTTAAGCAGAATCATCTACGTGTAGACAAGGGGACCGTAGCCTATCTACATACTACTCAGCCCTTACATCTATCTAGAAGGAACTAGACTATTATCAAACCATTGACTGGAGGAATGATGAAGATGCATAGGACTATAAAAAACTTGTCTCCCAACAGCGGGTTTTTGCTTTCTTACATGGGCTGAACCTGATTTATGAGCCTCTTCGGGTGCAGATTTTGGGAAGTAGGGAACTTCCTCCAATTCAGGAAGTATATGCTCTAGACCAATCTGAAGAGAGCAGTTGATGATAGGAAATCAACTAGTGGATATTGTACCTTTGTTGGTGGGAACTTGGTCACTTGGAGAAGCAAAAAGCAAAGTGTAGTGGCCAGATCTATTGCTGAGGCCGTGTATAGGGCCATAGCACATGGAGTTGCTGAAGTACTATGGGTGAAGAATTTGATTGGAGAGTTAGGCCTCTTGGTTGATGGCCCAATGTCTCTCTACTAGACAACAAGGCAGCCATTAATATTGCAGTCAATCCAGTTCTTCATGACAGGACCAAGCACATTGAAGTCGACAAGCATTCATAAGGGAGAAACTTGAAAAGGGGGAAGTTTGTACTCCTTACATCAGTTCCAAGGAACAACTAGCTGATGTCCTTACAAGGGGTCTTCATTATTTGCGACATAATGAACTGTGTGACAAGTTGGGCATGATTGACATATATGCGCCAATTTGAGGGGGAGTGTTGTAATGTGTATGTAGAGGCCTGCGGCCTACTAAGGGGTTTTTTTTGTCTTTTCCTCAATGTATTAGTTATGAACTGTCACCCTAAATATAAATATTAACTTAGGCGCTACCAGCTACAATTCTTGGAATAGATCTCTCTTTTCTCTCTTCTCTCCTCTCTTCTCTCTTCTCCCTTCTCTCTTCTAGATCTGCCGAACTACATAGGAAAAAACAACAGAATAATTGGAGTGATCACAATGTTGAAACAACGACGGGGAACTTTCGACAGAAAATCCAACAGAGAGGACAAGTGAATTCTAAACCTTTGAATAGGAAAAGGTGACAAGATCATTTAAAGAAGAGGAAGGAGAGAGGATTTGGGAGTTGATAGAAAATTACTTAGAAGAATTTAAGAGAAGAGAGCTGGTGGAGCATAGATCTGAAGAGAGGGAAGCAAGGAATGATTTTACTGATCCTGTGGCAAATTCTAGAGAAGGTTCTGGTGAAATAAGAGAGAGTGAGAATGTTAGTACTGATACAAGTGATTTAACTAATCCTGTGGCAAATTCTAGAGAAAGTTATGGTGATATAAGAGAGAGAGAAGATGTCAATATTGATACAATCTAAGGAAGGTATTTTTATATCTCAAACAGGGTTCTTAATTCAAAATTACTGCTTTTTGTAAGTGAAACGAGCATGGCTAACATCTATTCTTAGCTTGAGTAGGAGTGTTGAGGAATGTAATGTTTAAAGGAGGGTAGTCATGTCATTTGCATAGGGTTTATCATCTATCATGTGGCAGGGATATTCTGTTCTTTCTTATGTTGTTTTCCAGCACTATGTAAAACAGGGAGCTGTGCATGCACCCTGAGAATTCTTCTTCCTCTAACTGTTTTTCTCTCATTTCTTCCTTTTTCTCTTCTTATCTTCTTCCTTCTATTTTCTGCATTGTTCTGCTTAGATTACTTTTTTTTAGTCACTCGATCTGTATATCATATATCTATGTTATCATAGATTATTCCATTTGTAATTATGGTTTTGCATTCAGGACTTGCTTTATTGCAGCAACATAGTGAACTCACACAGTCATATGAAGAGCTTATGGAGGTACCAGGAGAGCTTATTCGAGAGGCTGCTGCATTTCATCACTTTGCTGAGGCTGCCTACACGGTCCTGTGGTGAAGCATTTCTTAGTACAACATCATGACCTCAAGCTAAGGCAATAGGATCTTATTTAGTTCAGTTTCGGTGCAGGGTCCACTGCTTGATTTTGGAAGAAATCCTGTCATATTTCCTTGTTCATGGCTCTATAGGCAAGGGGTATTAACCCCATGGACTCGTAACAGGTTGTGAATTATTTGTTTATAATTTGTCAATATGTATTTATCAAAGTTTATAGTTTGTGATTTTTAATTATAATATACTATGCTTTATTTGTGTTTATATGTTCTTTTAGTTTGTTTGGTGTACTTGTCTTTGGAAATTATCTTTATGTTAAGGTATGCCTATGCATTCTTTCATTTTTTTTTCTTTTTAATTTTGAGGTTTGTTTTTTTTTTTTGAAAGAAGGTAAATTATGATTGTACTAATAACTGGTCCTGTGTACAATGAGTAACTGTACAAAAAAGGACCTCAAAAAAAGGTCACTCTCAAAAAAGTATAATCAGATGTAAAATCTTTGAATTCAGCATGTATTGACAACCAGCTCCTAATGGCATCTATGGCTGAATTGATGACCTCGGCTTTAGAAGTGGATTTGTTTTCAAACATCCTTCTGTTTCTTTCTGACCACACAGCCCAAAGCACTGCTGGAGGGATAGAAGCCCAGCAAAGTCTCCCTTTTTGGGAAGTCCAGAAATCCGCCCCTCTTCCAATAGAGCTTTAACTGATGCTGGCACGCACCAGCTCATATTCAGAGTTTTCAAAAAGTGGCTCCATACTGCAGAACTAAACTTACAATGGAGGAAAAGATGTCCAACAGACTCCACCTCCTCATTGCATAAACAGCACCTAAGATCTGAAATATTCATGCCTTTTTTTATCAACATCTCCTTAGACAAACACCTCTCCAGAGCTGCAATCCAACCAAGGAACTTAATTTTTGAAGGAGCCAGATTCCCCCAAATGGCACGACTAGGAAAAGGAACTTCAGTCCTCCCCACTAGCTTATAGTAGAAAGATTTTAACTGTGAAGACACCAGTTTTGGTCCCGTTCCAGAATTTTGCATCTTGGGAGTGGAGGTTTAGCTACTGGCTTTGTAACAGAGAGAAGATCTGCAACCTGTTGAATTTCCCAGTCATTGGAGCTTCTTCTAAAGGAAGGAGTCCAACACAGTCTGTTCTCCTGAAGTCTGAAAGAATCCGCTACTAATTCCTTGTCTGAGGCCACATTGTATAAGTCAGGAAACAACTCTTTTAGGGGGCTGTCACCAATCCAGTGGTCTGACCAGAATCTAACTTTTCTTTCATCTCCCACTTTAAATCTGATGCAATCAGAGAACTGTCTGGCTGCCTTACATATTCCTTTCCACACTTTTCCATACGTTTGAGGGGGTGGTCCAGTATCCCACACATTGTTCCTTAGGCTCTGTCACCTTCCTCCAAAGATTATTTGGTTCAGTTGAGAATCTCCACAATCAACTTCCTAATAAAGCTTGGTTGAATAGCTTTAGGTCATTGCTGCTTATTGCACCACAACTATGACTTCAGCCCTTAAAAACCTTTGTTAACTTACTTGTTTCTAAGAGTAAGACCAATGAGAGTAGGTTCCAGTCATATAGCTTTAGGCACTGAAATTAAGAATCAAAAGCTAGTTGATTGGAGAATGATAATAGGGTTACAAATTTGATGAAACAATAGCAGTAAATGTGGACTGGTATTCGATATCATATGCTGAACAAGGTGTTGTATCTTGTTTGTCAGGGTAGTGGACTGGGATGGTTGCAATGCGGGTTTAGTATAGGAGTATGATCAACTTAATAATCTCTTTCATATTTATCAAAAGTAGCCTGGTATTCCTTATTAGAGCTCTTTCTCTGATCCATTGTGGTAGGTTGACCATGCATTTAGTGACCATGTGATACATTCATTTGCTTGCAGTATATAAAATGATTTTTTGTAGTGTGGTGCAATACATCCTAGCTCCTCACATTCTTCAGAGACCAGCCAAGAAATATGATTCTAGTTCTCTTTTCCCTTCAAAATTATCCAGTGAGGTTACCAGTCTTTCTTCTTTGAGAAACTCTCTAATGACAGTATCCATATTAAGAATTATCCCCTTTTTAAGAAAATGTTGGCTCTTCCCAAGGTTCAAAGTATTGAGATGCACAATATGAAAAAAATTGCATATTGTGCATTTCCAAGCCTCAATACTCACCCCTTTAATTGTTTTCTTTTGACTGTTTGGAAATAGGCTTAAGATTGTTACAATATATTACAGATGATTAAACTTCCATTGCATATGTATTTTGAATATCAGTGGATTCAGAAACTGATAGGGTATGCCCCATATTAGACACATTGTATTGGTACTTGGAACCTTGGCCCTTCCAACCTCATAGTCACTGCATTATCTTTCTTTCATCACTAATTTTATTCAGGCTCTTCATAATTTGCCTCCCCAATATGAACCTGTTCATACCTAGACCACAAAACTATAAAGCAAGCATAATGCTCCTGTATCATTTCTTTTTCCAACCTGGGAAGACATGAAGATTTCATATTTAATTTGGATCTTTATAGAATCATTGGATTGCTGGTAAATCTTTCATGATAGTCACATATTTCCATAACTGTTTGAAATCCCTGTATTGGAATCATCAATAGTTCCCATATTTGGGATACAATTGCATTATTGATCTTCAATAACAGAAATTAATGTATTAATGGATAATAAAGTTACAATAATTTGGGTAGAGGTAAAGAGGCTTAACTCTCCCGTAAAAAGAAAAAAAGAAAAGAGGATTACAATACAGCCCAAAACATCTGTTCCCTTCCCACCCCTTGTTTCGCCAATGTATCTGCAAAAGCTTTTGCAGTCCTCTTCACCCATTGAAATTGAACCTCCATCCCCCTAGTTAACTGTTTATCTTCCCTTCTTTCATTTGCATATTTCCACAGTCCATTGTCCTTTTGTAACCAGCTTTGAGTCTCCTTCAACAATTAGCCTATTAATACTCATCTCCTTTGTTTTTTGTAAACCTTCCATTAAAGCACATATCTCAGCTCTGAGAGAGTCCCCATTCCCAATGGGGCCTGAAAACAAAGAAATCACCATTCCATTCTCATCTTTGAACACCCCACCAATACCCGAGGGCCCAGGATTACCTTCACTACTGCCATCAAAATTTAATTTTACACACCCTGGGCCTGGTGGAGACCATAAGGGAGAGGCACCTGATGAGAGAGGAGCGGAATTTGCCACTTCCAGCCAGCTATTCAGTAGCATAACTGTAGAGACATCAGCAAACATATCCAAAGACTTCAGATAATGCACCACCCTAACCAATATTACCTCAATGGTACTTCTTTGTTCCTTTTCTTAGGCCAACTAAGGAAAGAGGTGGCAAACAAGCTTCGTATATCTGGTGGAGGGGTCCACCTGCAACCAAATAAAGAAATAAACCATTCCCATATATCAGAAACAAAAGGACAGGAAATTAGTAAGTAATAGGAGCTTTCACCATTAGCCTTGCAGAGGGTGCACCGATTTGGGGACAAGCACCAATTTGGCCTTTTCTTTTGGAGTAAATCACATGTGTTACATCTTTCCAGGAATGCCTCCCAACAAAAAGCTCCAATCCTTGGAGGGATTGGCTTACCCCATATTTCCTTAACTGGGAAAGACTGGATAGACTTGTTGGTCTGTTGTGCCAAGGACTTAAAGAAAGAAGCACAAGAAAAGGCCCCAGAGGGGCACAAAGTCCAAATTCTTCTATCCCTTTTTGAAGGGTCCAAAACCACCACATTCAAAATCTGAATTAAATCCACAACATTTTCCAATTCTGACTCCCTAAGGCCTCTCCTAAGACTCAAATCCCAATCATACCCAAAATTTGATTTAGAAGGGACCAAAAAATCAGACACACACTTGCCTTTGAAATGGGAGAGGGAGAATAAAGAGGGAAATTGGTCTTTCAGGGGTACATCCCCCACCCACAAATGTTCCCAAAATTTAACTTGATTCCCAGAGAAAAGATCATACCTGATGTATTGCAGAAACGAGGGAAGAATGGCATGTATGGATTTCCAAGGAGAGGCCATGCTAGTCCTTGCCACAAGCCTAGAGTCCCAGCCATCAACTGCCTGTCCATGAAGACTCAATATTACCTTGGTCCACATCTTATCCCTATCCCCTCCAAACCTCCACAACCATTTACCCAACAAGGCTTCATTTTTCTTCTAAATATTATCCAATCCCAAGCTACCCTCCTCTCTACACTTGGAGACTGTTAACAGCTGTTATTTTTTCCTATGTATAGTACCGCAGGGGTATTATTGTACTTTTACTCCTTTTTATTTTAGTTGCTGTCGCCCTAGTATATATATTAAAAAAGCTGTGCCGCCAGCAGTATCTTTTTGCTCTCAGTTTTCTCTTCTCTCTTCTTCTCTCTTTTTCCATTATTATCTCCTGCATAACATGGTATCGGAGTGGGACTATCAGATCTGAAAGGAGAAGTCGAGTGAACAGTTTTTTTTTTCTTCTTCGCACCAGATTTCCAGATCTGTCGCCCTCATCTGCTGTTCGGCTGATTGAAGATCTCACACATTGAAGTAACTTTTCTCTCTCTCTCTTACCTTTTTTTTCTGGTCGTGTGCCAGGGCAGAACCCGTACTAGGTTTTCCGATTGGATGTGAGGTGATCAACACCTCTTTCTTTCCTTTTTTGTGGGGTCGAATGATCCCTGTGAAACTGTAGGTCGTGAGGACCTTTTTGTGTGCTGCAACAACAACTTTTATGGTGAACTGTGGGTCAGAAAGTGACCAGTACCTCTTGTGTGCTGCAACAGCAGCTTTTATGGTGAACTGAAGGTCAGAAAGTGACCAGTACTTGCTGTAACAGTAGTCTTGTTGATGCGTAGGTCAAGAGATGACCTGTATGCACTGTGGCAACACTTGTGTTGAGCTTGTAAGTCAAGGGATGACCTGTTAGTGCTGTTACAACAACTGTGTTTTTTTAAAAGGAGGTGTGTTTCTGAAGATTTTTTTTTTTTCGTTCCCTCTCAGTGTTGAATTTCTTTAAGGCTGTATACCCCATTTAAGAGTTGGTTTTGAATCTGAAATCATGAGTGGTGAAGATTTTGTTACATCCGGTGTTTCCTCAATGCTGAATGGAATGAGTGGAGGT